CTTTCTTTCTTTCTTTCTTTCTTTCTTTATTTATTTATTTATAATTGCCATGTTTTGTCATAAGTTTTGCATGACATTCACCATAGCCACACAGGCAAAAGCATTATCAGCATTTGTTTGGTTTGATAACAAGAAAAAATGCAGTGTAGAAATATGAGCATTCAGCTACACTTTGTCATGTGTTCTGAATTATGCAGGACAGGTCCATATTTTATTAAGTGCCTTGCATTCTGTGTCTGCATATAAAAGCCCTGTATTTCTTTTTAAAAAATCCCAAAATACTTTTTATTTATATCGATTATGTTAAAAGTCCTCACTGTGAGAAAGAAACTCTCCCCCCCCCCTTTCCGGCTCCTGTTCCCTTTCCTTCTTTTCCTCCGTGTTGTTTTAAGCAGTGGCAAATAGAAACCAACAAGAGTGGTCCCAACATTTCTGTTGTGGTTTGCTCTTTTTATTTTTACATACGCAGTCTCTGTATAAAATTGATTTTGATTTTTAGCTGTTGTTAGAAGAATTGATTATTTGTAACTGTGAGTGCACAACAGTGCTGATAAAATTGTTTGCTGGTTTCTTTGTTGCCTGTTTTTTATTGTGTTGATTTAATACAGGGTCACATATCTGGCAGCCTAGTTACACAGTCAATAATCCACTCCAAGTTGGCAGTCTTTCCAAGTAAATAAGAAATATGTAAACCATTCTATATTGTTTGAGTGTCTCTGAATACGTTTTTTAATGTTTACCCACAAGATCCTGAAGACCATCTGAATTAGTTTATGAATAGTTCACTCAATAATGTGAATGTTAAAGTACAAATAATTTAACAGATAAGCAAGGATTTTAAATTTATTGGATCTTTTACCATATTCTTAATGCTCATGTCTTCTCTTCTCTTCATGTGTTTTACTTGGCAATATATTTCTTTGTAGTGATGAAAAGTGTTTTGAACAAGCAGAGCCCTATCAAGGATGGTCTATAGATCCTTCTTGGTCTAGTCATTTTCTTATTTATTTTTCATTCACACTACATGGAAGTTTGTGAATATTGTATATAGTCTACTTAGTCCTGAGATTACCAGACTGGAAATCGATGTGTAATCTACTTCTCCCCCAGTCACCCAGGAGATCCAGTATGGTTGGATCACTTGGGTGCTGTGTGTTGGTTGTTCCAGTAGCACAGAAGCACAGCACACATTATCTGGCTGTCTCAAGCACCTGCTACTCTGTCTGTGTAATAGCCCCCAGGGACAGTACACTCACTTACACTGCAGGCTGCATAGATCACTATCCTTCTGGTTATGGGAGATTCTCTTTTGTGCACTAATTAGATAATTTGGCTGTGTAATAGAATTAAAGCCCTGTAAAGACCATTAATTCAGTTACCCATGAACAAGTGCTCCAGGCATTTATGAGTGGTTCAGTGTACTCTGTGGTAAAATGGTTATTGTGGCTTATCTAAAAATCCATCAATATATTTTCAAATCTTGTGCATATTTTCAGCAGTTGATTACAGATGTCTGGCAACAAAGCTAGAAGAGTTGAATGCCAAATGAGAACTGGTTTCATATGCTCCTTGGGCAAAAATAACACAACACATTGCCAAATGTATCTGCACTTGCTAAACTTAACAGGAATACCCTATACCAGGGCCTTTCCCAGGATTGGAGGTACAGGCTGTCCAAAATTACCACCTGTAAAATCCTACAAATTTCCAGGGAATACAAGTATGTCTAAAGCCGTCATATAAAAAAAAAACAAAAACAAAATTCAATAAGCCGTCCAGCCATCTTAAAAAATTTAGGCCATCTGGTGATGCTGGCCACTTGTCTAAATGATGGCTGGACAGTTTGCTGGGAAAACCCTTGCACCACACAAATATTTATCTTTGTCTGCTTCTGGCAAAGATTTCTACAGGAAAAACATGCTTTAAATATAGGTTTATAAGTTTATATTATTATCAGGATTATATTAGGATTATATGATAGGGACAGTGAAAGTCTCCATACTCTCAACTATTTTCACCTATTGGTAGAGTTGGTAGCTTATGGATCTAAGATCTTTGATGTAAGATGTCTACACACATTGCTACATGTTCAAAGATCTGTAGATCCTGGCAAGATAACCATGTCAGAACTTTTACTGCCCTACAGGGAGGTGTGGAGATGACTCACCTATGGTATCAAAAAGCATATTTCTATACTAGTAATCACCTTGGGGGTTTGGCAAGATAGAGATGGTTTGAGTCACTATATTATCAATCATATTTTGGACCTAGTAGTGCTTATGCAATATCATACAACATTATTCACGAAAGTAAATTTCAACCGCATATTTAATCATTTATGTCAACATTATTTAATGATTGTAGCATTTTTTTCCAGGTATGGTCTTTTCTGGTTAAAGAAAAGAAGAGAAGGAAAGAGGATTTTTATTGATCAAGTTAAGGTTGTTCCTTACCAACCTATATATGGTGAGGCCATTAATTAATTTTTATTTATTTATTTATATATTTGTTTATTTATTATTTATTATTTTTGTTTTATTAAATCTTGTCATCTTGTCATCTTTATAGATAGCCTCTCTTTTAAGATATTGTATCCCAAAGGTATTTTGTGTCCTTATCATAATTATAAAATTAGTTCTATTGTTGAAAAATAGTACTTTTTGCATAAAGCTTTAAGTGAAAAGAAAATAAATAATACAAATAATTGCCCTCTTTGCTTTTAAAACACATAAAAGACTGATGGCTTGCACATGCTTTGATTTGGGCTTAAGTAAAATTCAGTACATTTTTTATGTACAGACACAGATGTGTCTGTACATATTGCCATCACCTGCGTCTGTCGTCGCCGATCATGTCGCCGTCGCCGTGCACTTTCAGCGTTAACACCATAAGTGGAAGACAGTTTTACTTTGTGGCTTTATATTTACAGAGCTGACTAATATTCATAAAACGCAGGTCAAGTTCGAAAATCAGCATGATCGGGCCATTATTGTAGAATTTATGCTGTTTTTTCACTTTTTAGCATATATGCAACACTGTTAACACATTTCAAGGAAAACCGATAGGCCTGTTGTCATGAAACTCACAGGAGTAATCAGTCTTACTAAAACGCAGATCAAGTTCGAAAATCGGCATGAT